TTGCATAGTGGCACATGCTGCCTCCTGAAGCAAATACCTCGCATCAAGGGACAAGACCCTGACAGCTTGCTGAGTGTCCTGCGCGAATCGCCCATCTTCCGGTAGCATAGCAAGAACGCTCCAAATAGGGAGAGAACAACCTAGAATGGTCACTCAGGCATTCATGCAATATCTGACAGCCTGGTGCAAAACTTTTCGACTTGTTCAAGTCATCTTTGTCTGCGACGTTGCATGCTCAATGAGGTTCAGCCCTTGAACAGTGAATACAGGTGCTTCTTCTGACCCCTTAGGGTGCTCCCCTCTAACGACATTCAAGCAGCCGCAAAAGAAATCAAAAACCACGCATATCCAGGAAGACCTTCGCCGTGTGCGGCGGACGCCTTGAGACCGCTGGCGCTATTGACATCCAAGATCGCCTCATGGCAAAGGCGACGCAACGTCAAGTAGTATGGCATGTTTGCCTTCCTTTGCATTCTCCGGCAAAACGTTCAAATAGGCTTTCACAACCAGTCACCTCACTCCACTTGCTACACATAACAAAAACAAACATACGTACACATACAACTTACAACCACAAACCAAACGGAAGTGTCATTTTGTTGAGGGAATTGAGGGGTGACCCCTTCCAAATGGCCTCTGCCGGTTTCTGCACCTCCGTGTGTTCCGCAGCCGCCTTCTCCTTCAACAGCTCATTGATTGGGCCTCATCTGAAAGCTTAAGCGAGGTACCGTCTGAATTTCTCTGTCACGGACAGACTTGGGCCGTCCAGGCGGCCACCCCGTTTCCCGCCCCCCGTTTCCTTTTGCATCGAGAGAGTCAGCGAGCAGTTTGGGTGAAACGGGCCGGAACCCAAATTCATTCGAGCGTCAGCTCAACTCCAGCTCATCCGGCGGCGCCTGCCAAGCCGCGCCCATTGCCTTTCGGCAGTAGCCGGGCTCGGAGATCAGCTGTACCGGGCTGGGCTTGTGGGTGTCCGAGCGCTCCCGATGCCGGCCGATGCGGCGCCCGTGCAGCGCCAGGGACTCGGCGTCCAGCTTGTCATACTCCTCCGCCCCCATGATGCGGGCGGTGATGGGCACGCGGATGACGTGAGCCTTGGTCTGGATCTCCACCAGCTGCTCGATGCGGTGAGGCTCCATGGCCAAGACCTCCACCGCCAGCCGCGTTGCCATGCCTGGGGCAAGGTGCCCTGGTTGCCAGTGCACCCGGACCAGTTCGCTCTCCGGCGGCTTCACATTGAACCTGGTGACGTCCACCTCCAAATTCCGGACGTAGAAATGCATTCGGTACAGAGAGCCCTGGCGCAAGGGGCCGAAGCGACACGCTCCGGGCATGACCTCCACCAGCATGTGGTTGTCCCCGAGGCCCTTCACCTCCGAGCGCTTGTGCGCCAGCGCGCTGGTCTTCACCTTCCTCCCGGTGGGGCCCTCCACCTCCAGGTAGTCGGCGTTCATGCCAACGTAGGCCTGCGAGATCTTGCCCTTGGGACCCCGCGGCTCCCCGTAGACGTCCCACATGGCGGCCTTCTTGTCCGGGTGAGGGCCAACCGGCGCTTCGTCTTGGACAGGAGCGATCGGCAGCCTTTCACCCGGCTGAAAGTACATCCGTTCAGCGCCATCTTCGGGCAGAGCACCAAACTCCGGCGCGTTGAAATCGGCGCGAAGAAGCTTGGACTGTCCAGGCCACTCATCCTCATAGTGCTCTGGGCTTGCTTCTTCCTCCGGTTCATCTGCCGCTTCGCCGACCAATCTTGGATGCCAAGGGCTCTTCTGTGGCGGCGGCGGCGGATCTCGCGGCCGCTTCTGCTTCACCACCGGATTCGGCGTCAAGTCCGGATCCAGCATTCCTGTGTCCATCAGGAACTGAAGACCTGTTTCAGACTTGAAGTAGGAGAAGGACCACTCCGCCTCTGCCACAAACATGCGCTTGCCTGTCTTGGCCTTGGGGGCCACGTTCTCCTGGTCCATGCTGGGATCCTGTGGAACCTCCTCATTGACCGGCGGCTCCTCGGCCAAGGCCTCAGCCTGGTGGCCATCTTCCTCACCCTCCGCCTGAGTTTCGGTGCTCACCGCCAGCATGGCCAGGGCTTGACTCAGCAGCTCCTGGCTGCCGGGCGGCTGCTGCTCGGCCAAGCGGCTCTGCAGCGCCTTGACGTGATGCTCAAAGGCATCCAGGCGGAGGCCCTGCACAAATGCCGGCTCCGGGGGAAGCTCTTGCTGTGCTTCCTCCTCCTCCAGCTCATTCTTTCCCCGCTTGCCCTTCTTCCCCTTCTCTTTGCCCTTCTCTTTGCCCTTCTCCTTCTTGGCCTTCTTCACTTCAGGCGGCTTGGCCGCATTCCGCATCTTCGTGAGCTGCTCGATCTCCCAGGCCCGGTACTGTTTCAGCGTGCCCTGCAGCTTCACCTGATCCTCCTCCGACAGCGCGGGATACTCGAGCAGCTGCCGGAACTCCGTGATGGTGCCCGCTTGCGTGCTCCTAGCCTGCTGCGCCGCCTGCAGCATCGCGTGCTGCGACGCCTCGGAGATCACCGAGCAGATGCTGCTGCCGCCGTCCAGGCTGTCCGGCAAGGCCAGGGAGCCCATCTGCGGCACCGAGAGCGCGTCCGGCAGCCGGGTGTGAAAAATGGTGTGGCACTTAAACCGCGGACTCTCGGTGCCCAGCACCAGGGCCATGGGATCCTCCTGGGCCGCTCGCAGGATCTCGCCCGCCTGGGCAGAGCTCAGCAGCTCCTCGGCCTCCCCGTCCCCGTGCACCACGAAGAGCCGAGGCGCCGGCGGCGGCACCTCCCGCCCGTCGTCCGGGGCGTAGGCCCTATTGGCCTCGCTGCAGCGCGGGCTGGCGCCGGCGCCGGGCACCTCCAGCGACTGGTCCGCGTGCAGCACGAAGTCCCCGCCGCGCAAGACCAACCTGCCCTCGGCGCAGTGGGCAGTGCCCAGCGAAGCCGCCTGATGAAAGATCTGCACGGTGCCATCTCCCAGAGCTTTCACCATGCTCCCTTCGCGGCAGCTCAGCGTCACAGCAGCGTGCGTGGACTCCAGCGTATCCCCCGCCAGCGGCTTCAAGCTGCCATCCACCAAAGCCTGCGGCTGCACCTCGATGCAGGTGCCGTCAGCACATTCCACTTGCAATTGAACGGAGCCTTCACCGGGTGAGGTATCCAAAAACAGCTTATTGAGCATCAAAGGCAAACATACTTCAAGAAGTCAAGAAGCAACTTATGACACATCAGGAAGAACGAACTCCTCGGGCACCATGTTGCTGAACAAAGACAACATCAAGCAACACTCGTTGGGCATGGGCAGGGTCAGCTTGTCTTGGGTTTGTTCTTGGTGGGTTGGTTTAGGGTTTCTTGGCGCGTTTAGGGTGGATAGGGCTAGGATAGGTTTGGGGCTTCCTTCCTGCCTTTCTTCCTTCCTTGCTTGCTTGCTTGCTTCCTTCCTTCCTTCCTTCCCTCCCTCCCTCCTTCCTTCCTGGCAGTGGCTTTGGAAATTCGCTAGCAGGAATCACCAGCAGGAATCCTAACCTCACATTTTGGAGCTACCTAACCCGCCTTCACCAGCAGGAATCTCGCACCTCACCAAAGCCATGCCCTCTTTGAAGATTTCCGTCTCCGTTCCAAACTCCTTCACGGTGCTGGTGATGCGGGTACCATCGGGGTATACGCAAACTTTCTGCACGCCTTCAGGGTCTTCAAAGGAGGCAAAGCCACGGGAATTCGTGAGCGCCCTATGCTGTGTGAAGAGATCCACTTGGAGTGCTGTGGCCACGCTGTCCACCTCATGCTCTCCATCCTCATCGCGGCGAAAGACATGCCCATCGCTGCGAATGATGACCCACTGCCCAGGGCAAAACCTGGGCTCGTCAGCTGCAGCATCTTTGTAAGCCTGCAACATCTTGGTCAGCAACTCGCGCTTGGCGGCATCATCACAGCAGCCTTGCTGGCTGCGGCAGGGCGACTCCTCCAGCCTCGTTTGCAGCTCCTCGGCCGTCGGACTCCGGCACGCCGAGGTCCCATCGGCGTGCAAAACCTCGATTCGGCCAGACACCAGGGTTCGGATCACGGCTTGGCCGGTGATGGTGCGTGACACCTCCCCATCTTCTGCACAACCGGGAAGCGGAGCGCCGGCCTCATTCTCGGGTTTGCTGGTGCTGTCTGGGATCAGCCGGATGGAGCCATTGCTCAACATCTGAATCACCTGTGGGGTTCTAGAAAAAGGGGGTGAAGAAGTCTTCGAGGCTATCATGTTTTTACTCCTTATCGTCTTGCTCTTAGCCTAACTGTGTTCGAGTCCACGTGGTTCAGATCATTTTGCTTCTATGCACTTTGCCAGGGAAGTGGGGAAATGGTCAAGGTCTTCAAGTAGGCATTTGTCTCACTTGTTCTTCTTGTTGTTGACATCATGTGTATCGATTTTAGACCGTGCACCCAGCAAAACTCAAGGAATCCTGTCTCCGGAATATGTCTGCCTCCAGATGCTCAGGTCCAGTGTTAGGGTTGTCTTCTTTTAACCCTTTCAGGCAATTTGTGCATGTTTGTTGAAAAAGGACCGGCCCAATACTCAAGTAGCACCGCCACGGGAATTTTCAACAGAACCCGTACCTGGCCATCTGTAGTGGTGTAGCTCAGCAGCGAGCCCGTGGACGAGTCGTCTGGCTTTGCAGGCATGTTTCGCGCAGTGACCCTCGCACCGCTGGGCAGCGCCAGCCAAAAGACGCCACCTGGCGGGCCTTCCGGCACAGACTCAGGCTCTGGCGCCACTTCTGAAGGCTCTGGAGCCTCATCTGGCACCTCCTGGGACTCCTTAGGCTCTCTTGGCTCCCGCCTCTCGACGATGCCGAAGGTAAGGCGATCTTTCAGAACACGTGCCAGGCGCCTGGATGATCTTGGACATCGGGTTTCGCCCGGCAACACGCCTGATTCCATGGACGTCACCAGGATCAGGCTTCCATCAGCCACCGCCAGCTTTTCCACCATGGTGTTGTAGCCCATCTCCCTGGCATCCATGTTCTCGATGAGTTGCACATTGGCCGGCGCCCCGCCGCCATGCACCTTCCAGTCGTTGAAGGTGGGGCTTGTGACCAGCGCGGACTTCCACTTCGGGTCTTGGGGCGCCGTGAGGTTGTCTCCATGCCAGGCGTGCCACAGCACTTGGCCGGGGACTGACCTGTGGTGTAGGGCCAGTAGCAGGCAGTCGTGGCGCGAGGAGTAGGCGCAATCCACAAAGGGCTCCCGCTGAAGGGCGGCCTGCAACACCTGGCCCAGGAGGCTCTTGGGAATGCTTTCCCGCCAGCTGCGGTCAGCAAACGACCACGGCCGCTGCTGAGCGTGCGAAACCAGCTCCTCAAAGGACTGCAGCAGGAGCATCTGCTCCAACTCTTCGGGCGCGACGCCCGGAGCGAAGGGATAGAACCGATGCCTCAGCGCCTTCCTCTCCAGCTCCGAGAAGGCGAAGTCCGGAAGCCCGGAGCGTCCGCTGCCGGGCACCGAGATCTTGCCCAGCACCTCGTGCACCGCTGCGAGCGGGCGCCCATCCGCGCTCGGCCCGCGCCGGTGCCGGCACGCAGCTTGATCCAAGTGCTGCAGCAGCGGACCAGAGTCCGGCAGACCTGGCCGTGGGCCAAAAATGGGTAAACATGGAACCGGTTTGGACGAATTTTCGCCCCCCACCTGGCACTCCCTGCTCCTCGGCTTCAGCTTGCCGCACCTCGCTGCGCGCCAGCGGGCCTTCGCCCACCACGTCCTCGAAGGCCGAGGCGAGATGCTCCTCGAGGCTCCGCAGCGCCGCGGCGTCCTCCTTCTGCTGCGCCTCCCCACTGAGCGTCCGCTCCACCTGAGGCGTCAAAAATCCCGCGGTGTTGGGAAAGAAAACAAAAAGCGGCTTTTGGGGCCATTGCTTTGCTTTTTAAGTCCTTGTCAGTAAAAGCGGGTGCAGTGTTGGATGCGAGGGACCACCGAAAACTCAACTGAGATCGATGGGGATTTATGCAACCTCACCTGTTCTGTCAAGCAGTGCAGGAAGAGAGGAACATCATGGTACGCAGGATTCACCGCACTCATCATGCTGTGATAGAGCCGATCTTCGAAGATCCCAGTATCCTCGTCTGGCAGCTTCACCCGCTCAGCCTGCAACCAAGCCTGAAATTGCACTCGCGACGAGGCTTCTCGGGCGAGCACTTCCTGCATCGCAGCCATGACACGTTCCGAGGGGCTGCTTTCGTCCTCTGCGACGGCCAGGGCGTGACTCTCCGGCACAGTCACCACACTGCAGTTGGCGAGGTCGGAATTCGCGGGTGCACTCTGAATCGCCTCGTAAAAGAGTTGCGCTTGTTCTGGAGTGGGGCAGTCAACTTGAACGCTAGGATCAGTCTCATCCACCGTCTTTCCGGCAAAGTAGATGTTGCACCACAGATCCACCACCTCGTAGAGGCCTGCATCTGACATAGCATTGAGTTCCTCTGCGTCCGGCGCCTCAAGAAGGAACAGGACATCCACCTCCGGCGGTGCCTCTGCCTCCGGCGCGCCTTCATCTCGGTTCTCGCGGTCTCGGTTCTCGAACTTGGCAATGAGCTGGCGCCGCGCCTCGTTGGATTTCGCGCGGCGGCGCGCTGCGCGCTCCTTCGCCAGGCGCAGCTTCAAGCCTGCCCAAAGCGGCTGGTCCTGTAGGCCGTTGGCCTCGGTGCAGTAGGCATGCAGCTCCTCTCGCTCAAGCAGCACCACAGGCCCCGATGCATCGCCGAGCTGTTTCGCCTGGGTCAGCACCAAGTTGCAGGGCTCAAAGTCCTGCACGCCTGTCTCAGATGCCACCTTGAAGGAATGACCTGCAAGATGTCCCAGCACCAGGCTGAAGTCTGGCTCGGGGGGCGTTCCTATCTCTTGCAGAAGCTCCTCTGGGAGAACCACCTCATCCTCCACCTCTGGAAGCACTGCATCTTGCTTCTTGGGCGGCATGGCAAAGTCCTAAAATCGTCTACCCAAAACCAGTGAGCCACAGTCAGCATTCATCTCTTTCTCAACTGACATGGGTGCTTTGCCGAGCAACCTCCATTTCAGAACTTTGATGGGTGTACTCAACATCGTCCCCTTGACAGATACCTATAAGACCCTTTCTGGCTCCCGGCTGGCAGGTTCTTCCAGCAGGTTGGGCTCCGGGTTCCAGTGCCCTGTGGGCAGCACCTAAGGCCCAAGGGGGGCTCAATACAAGTCGCCTTGGGCGACTGAAACCCTGGTCACACTCCTTCTTTCTTTTCATGAAAAGAGCCGCGAAACCAGGCCCGCGGAAAAGCCAAGCCAAGGCCACTCCAGTGATGAAGCTGATGGGACCATCCATCGCGTCCACTGCCGCTTGCTGCTCTGCGGCCGGGTACAGTCGCCGGGCCAAAGCCTGCGCTTCACGTCTCACGAGCGCCCTCTGCTGTTCAGACGGAACCCTCAGGTAGCTCGTCTTTTGAGAGTGCCCCTTTTTCGGTTGAAAGCCAACCTGCAAGAAGAGTACTCTAAATGTTACGCGAGTTTTCGGGCTCGGTCTGCAGGAAATCAGGCCTTGGCCGCGTGCAAGGCGCCGTCGGCTCTTTGTTGGCCGCTCTGCCCAATGGACCTCAGAAGGTTGCCAATCCTCATCTCATAGCTTGTCCAGGGCGTCTGAAAAGACAAAATGACCATGGTGCCAGATTTCATCTACAAAAAACATACATTGGGCTTGGGCTTGGGTTCCAAGCCGAATACATGCATGCACCTCGCCTCACTGTTCTGCCGAGACACCCAAGAGACAAGGCCGCAGTGATGGTGCCAGACTTCAGCTGAGCTTCTTTGTCGAGGCCTGCTGCCTGCGTCCATCCCCATTCCGCGAAGCGATCCCACGCCGAAGCCCCCATTCCTCGCCTCGGCCGTCCGGGCAGCCTCCTTCGCTGCCTCAAAGGCGCAATCATCCAGCGGCTGGCCAGCCTGGGCTGACCCCAAATGGCTGTGGGTCAAAACCCTGTGCCCCCGGTGAACATCCCAATTCCCACTAAAATTGGGTGGTGCACCTACCCCAAAATGGTACCATTGGTTTTGACGCATGGCCAAAGCTGCCAAAGCTTGCCCAACTTATCAAACCCACCCCAGCAGACTCTCAATCGCCCATAGAGACAAATTGTCGAACACCCAGCCTTGTGGTAGACCTCAAAAGCTGCCTTGCCCGCATATTGCGCCTCAGCCGCCGTCATTTGAAGACATACAAAACACATGCGTCAGTGGTCAAACGTTTTGTTTCTTAGCGTTGGGGGACTTGGTGGCATCAAAGATGCATGAGGAATGATGTCTTTTCCAACCATTCCTGCCACGTGCACGGCCAAACTTGACTGGTGATTGACGAATGGGCCATTTTTGCCCATATGAGCAACCGAGCAAACCTCTTGCGTCGGCTGAAGGACACTGGTTGAGAGGTACCGTCATCCATGTCGTTCCTGAAGGCGTTCGTTGCTTTTGCAACTTGCATAGTGGCGCGCATGCGCTAAAGATGCAGCAGCAGCCGCAGCCGTAGCCGCAGTCAGCAGCAGCAGCAATGCTACAAGCAGTAGTGGTAGTAGTAGTAGTAGTAGTAGTAGCAGTAGTAGTAGTAGTAGTGGTGGTGGTGGTGGTGGTGGTGGTAGTAGTGGTGGTAGCAGTAGTACTAATAGTAGTAGAAGCAGTGGCAGTGGCAGTGGCAGTAGTAGTAGTAGTAGTAGTAGTAGTAGTAGTAGTAGTAGTAGTAGTAGTAGTAGTAGTAGTAGAAGCAGTAGTGGTAGTAGTGGTGGTGGTGGCAGCAGCAGCGGCAGGGGTGGTAGTACGGGTCCTGTCGCGCCGTGTGTTTTCGGCCAATTTTTGCTTTGTGGTGGCTTTGGAGGGGGAATTTGGAGCCATTTTGATGCTCGGTTTTGGCTCTTGTTACCTCCATTGAAACTCTCTCAAAAAGTTATCTGTACATCTGGCTTGACATTGCTCCCAAGCAATTGTTTTAGAGTTTTTGAAAAAGTCTTTTTGGATTTAAATTGAGGGTGATGTGTACGTTCGTGTTCACTGCGCCGACCACATGCAGCCCATGGGTTCAGGGGGAACACGTCATTCCCTGCCAGGCCTGTCGTTGAAGCACTTGCCCTGATTATCCTTCTTCGATTGCGCGGCTGGCGCGCACCTCCACTCATTTTTGAACATATTCGTTCCTTTTGGATCTGTCCTTTTGCGGAGCTCGATGAGTTTCATCAGGCGTGATATATGGGGGATGGTTTCAATCAAGCAGAAATTATTCTCTTGTTGCTGTAAAGTTGACTAGCACCATCGCAAATTTCCCTACGCCAGGCTCTGCCAATGGCAGCATCGAGCGCTTCGTGCAGGAGACTGCGTTGCTAGCTGCGAGGCCATCATCGGTTTTCGAGCCGGGCCCGGGGCCCCCCCAAACATACCCAGATCAAAATGAAGGCGCGTTGCTTTTCGAAGATCGGACGCCACCTGCTTTTTGCGCTTGATACCTGACAGGTGAACTCCAAGCTGCTGACTCTCGTGAAACACCCGCGAAAGTGCGTGCGCATATTTGCTGACGGCAATGTTGCATGGAACTCAGCGCCAAAGGCTGCAGGCATGAAAACAGAAGCAGTGTCGCATCAATTGCGAGTCTTTTGCAGGCCCACCCATCACGGTGCCGGAAAGATAAGCGGGCAAGCAGGAACGCAATGTATAGATAGGAGTTGGGGTGCTCTGAAGCCGTAGCTACCCCGCCGCCTGATCTTGATCAAAGAAGGCGGGGAGTCACGGCTCAATGAAGAAGCTGTGAAGTATGTGTACCAATGGATGTGGAGACAGCACATCATGCAGGCGGCGGGGGCCTTGACACCCTCCCAAGTCCTGCACGAGCTGCGAGACATCATGTGAAAGAAGATTGGGCAAAGTAGTTTTCGAGCTTCTCGTGTATGCTAGTTACTAGTTTCTAAAGATTGTTAAATACCTTGCCATCACCAGTATTTTGCAGCAACAGACATTGACTTCGCGCCACGGCGCAATGGGACCCGTGAACCTAGTAGTTAGATGAGGAGGAGAGGAGGAGGAGGAGGAGCAGGAGGAGTTGCAGTCGCATTAGCAGTAGTAGCAGTCGCTGTAGCGGTGGGACAATAACAATGCAAATAGCAACAGGACTTGTAGTACACAAGCGGCAATAGGAATTCCCAGAAGCGGAAGCAACATGTTCGTACAGGAGAGCACTCTTAAAAGATTCGCTCCCGCTCAGCACAACAGGGCACGTCACGGCCCTCCTTTACATAGCAGTTTTCGGCAGGTTTAGGTTGACGCTCATATGGACCCTTGAAGTCTTGAACGGCAGGTTTTCAGAAGGCTGACCCTCAAACTCAGAGAGTTGACCTCTCAATTGACCTCACGCTTCGTTCATGAGCTCTGACCTCACCTCCATGTTCAAACATGGCTTCATCTGGAGCTGCAAGCTGAGCTCACGTCTTCAAATCTGCCGCTCAGGGAGCTGCAGGACCAGCTACCCTTCTTGGGCTTTGAAAGAAACCAGAAGGAAACCGGCGATTTTCGTGGTCCTGACATAGCATTTGTGGGAGGGTACGTGGAAGATCAAGCTCCTCCTAAAGAGACCCTCTGTCAGGTGCCATGCAAGCGTGGGAGGGAGGCTATGCCCAAAAACATTGACCTCTTTAGTCTTTGGTTCCATTTGCCAAGGTGCCATGTTGCTTGCTTGTGAAAGAAACAAAATCTGCCACAGCCATTTCTGTCATTTTGGTCTCAAGAAAACCAAACCTGCCGCCATTTCTGAAAAAAAATGTTTGGACCTCGGGCCTGGTACTCCGGGGAGAGGCTCAGGGCGGCCGCCGCGCCCGCGCCCGCCGCTGCCGCAGCCTTGGCTTGCTCCGCCAGAGACCGGTGCTCCTGCGAACTCACCGAAACGAAATGTTGCTTGGTTTTTCGGTGTTCTTCTGCGTTTTCTCGAGTTTGTTTTACTTTTGTCCGGTTTTCATCGAGTTGTTGTTTCTCTGATTTTCTCGAGATGCTTCCTCTGTATTAGATCAAGTGCAGCTGACATGGCTGAACCATGGGAAAACTGGAAGCCCTAAGACCCTGTGAAACCACCATCAGATTAATGTGAACCAAGCAAACACAAACTCCCTTACACTTTGCTGGCCAAAACCTGGTCAAAACTACAAAGCTTGACATGGGACAAGTAGTGATTTCCCTGGCTTCTGTTCGGCAATTTGGTAAATCCCCCATGTCCCTCCCAGATGAACCGCAGACTACTTTTGTTTTCACCTTCACACATTCTGAAGTTGTCGGCCGCCTTGGCGGGCGCCCATTCACTCTACACTGCTGCTTTTCACCTGGCCTCTCGAAGGATTCGGCGCCGGAAACTTACCAGTGGACAGACCCCATCACATCTGCCGACTGCCAGCTAGTCGACACACATCCCACTCGCAACAAAGCTCTTGGCGTGCCATGTAGCAGTACGGTATGACAATCACCAACTGACCACCACACTGGGTATCCGCAACCTAGGCGCCTTAAGAACAATTCTCAGCGCCCCCGAGGACACCAGCAACGCAGACCCCGCCATGATGCAGCCTTGAGCTCCGGCCTGATTTCTTCAATGGCTGTTCAAAGCCGAAGAAAACGGCTCCCTCGAAAAGAAACACACGCAAACGAATGCCAGCAAACGAGAGGGAGGGGGGAAATCGCGTTCGAAACAACTACGCGGTTTGCTCTGCTTGTCAAAAGGCATAACCCGCCCACCAAACAAAGGGGAGCAGTTTGGCAGAAAATGCTTCACTTCAACTGCTTGCTCCTTTGCAGCTTCTTCGGCTGCGGTCTGAGCTGTGTTGCAGCTGCCACAAGCTGGCACGTAGTGCGGATAGTCCTGGGACAGGGAATTTGTTTTTTTTGACGAGTCGTCGAAACCTGTCGAAACCGGTTACCTGCATCAAAAGGAGGAAGTCATCCCAAACGTTGCCTTCCCAGCTACCGACTGATGCCGCGTTTCTTTGGGCCTCAGCTCGGCAGGCTCCCAGAAGAGCCCACAGGAGGAGCGCCGTCATGCCGGGAGCTTTGAAATGCAGCAGCTGCGGCTGACAGAGCATTGACTCGGGAGCCCCCTCGCCTCTCAAACACCTTTTTCCAACTAGTACGCGCAGCCGAAGCTCCCTTGCTTCTACAGAATGTCTTCCCAAGCAGGGCTCAGAAAGGCACACGCCATCCAAACAAACGAATCTGAAAATTGCTGTCCCAACTTCCGCCAGGTCCACGTCTCGGCCCACCGTGCTTCAGAAAAACATCTCTGGGACGTGCCCTTTTCAGGTTGTGGTTGGAAAAAAGCCAAGAGGGAAAATACAATTTTCGAGAATGCAAACCCCTATTTTGACATTTGCCCACATGGCCCGGTGACTGATTGTTTCCTTGCTGGGGCCTTCCTACTTTCTGATCATTGTGTTCTTTGAGTTTCGCACTGATCGTCTCCAAAACGTTTTTGTTCGATCTTCTCCTG